CTTTTGTTGTGATGTTGTATGCAGGAAAATCATCACTGACACGTTGTCATGGTAATGTGTCTAAACTGTTGATCAAGGCCTGGTATGGTTCACTGATTGTCTTTTGCAGACTGTCATTCACTCACTGTGTTGTTGCAGATCTGGTCACTGACAGCCATTTTTATTTCTATGGGTCGGCTCCAAATTGCTATTTGAGTTTTGCATGGGGAATGTACTCAGTAACCTGAGCACTGACCTATTTCCAGGTCATTTGGAGTTCAATTCAACTGCACAGACGTAGTAGAGAGCACACTATATGACTTGTCATATCCTATTAGGTTGCAGAAACCACTTATTTAATTTGGAGCCCTGTTTGTACAGAATTGTAAAAAGTTTTTCATATCTACTGAATTTAGTGAGATTTATTTGTAGGCATCTCTTGTTTGTACTTCACTTATTGTCCATAAAATATAGGTGTTTATATCCTATAAATTCAATAATGTCAAAAAGGATGGCTGCAATAAACGTGTGCGCTGTGGCTGTTAGTTGCAAAAGAGGAAGATTTCATGATCAAATTTACCATGTGATCCCAAGAAGGGATCCTGATTGGACAGTAGTTAGCCAATCAGAATCCTGGATTAGTAAGTGTTTCAAGTTCAAGGTTGATTTTTGAATGGTAAAAGGTTAGAACCCTTTACTATGCCTCTCAAATTCTTATAGCTGAAACAACAGCCAGATGCGGAAACCTCAAACACAGAAATACTAATAAAATTATATCTCTGCACATAGGGATTGATGCATATATTAAATTCCAAATAAATACAGCCTCAATTTCTAACCAATCAATGGAATTTTTTTTTTTTTTTTGTAATCTAAAGATTAGCCAGTTTCGATGCTTAAAAATGAGATTAAAAAAAAATTCTATTATTCAGACTGTTATCCTCATCTTATTCGCCATATTCACAACATTTCAGTCATTGTACACTCCAGCTTTATTCAGGTGATTCGAATTTCAAACCAAACCCTTTATTTTGTCCACTGGGATGAATTGTTCTAGTTCCACATGCCATGCCTTTTCGAGATGTCACCGTTATTTCCCTTTAACTCAACTCCCCAAGTTTTGGTTCACCACTGATGTGGCCTGGTATTGAACTAGTCTCATCACTGGATGTAACCAATGTTTTTATCCACTGGGTCATGTGTCCTTGAGGACCTCTATGTATGAATTTCTGGGACTTATGAACCTATTGTCACAGCAACGATTTTTACCAGTGCTCATATTGCAATATTTTGTTATTATTATTCATTCTACAAAACCTAATACACTAGCCATTACTCTCAGTTTTTTTTTATTTATTACTTGTCTTATAGTATAAAAGGTTGAACTTAAAATCCATTGTGCAAAGAAAAAAAAATAATTATATGCAAAGACATTACACTGTAGGGACACTCACATCATACCAGCAGGAATAGCTACATGTTCGCAGGAATAAAAACATACAAGAAAATAACACTAAAATCATGTTAAGTTATAAATTAAAATCATAACATTTTATTTATTTTGTGTGTCTTTTAGTTGCATGTGTTTTAAGGTTGCATGTGATAGAAGAACGTCACTTTGTCTTACGGCAAGCAATGTGCTGAGGAAAGGAGATGGACATCTTGACTTTTCAGGGATCGATAGTGAAGAGAATGTGTTTAGTGTGAAGTCCATTTTCAGACAGGAAAAGTTTCTGTTGCATGCTGGGATAGCTTCTATTATTTTCACTTTATTTATTTTATTTTAAACAAAGTTTTAATCTTATTTGTTTTATTTTTATGACATTTATTATTATTTTATAGTTTTATTTATTAATAATAATGTCCCCTACAACATCACACTTGAAAAGTATAATTTTTTAAAAGCATCTAGTTAGAAGTTGATCAGGTACATCTACTCTAGATCGGTTTCTGTCTTAGACATGTTGTAGATGTACCTAGTCTCTGAAGATCCTAACTCCAGGGCAGCCCCTCTCCGCCATTTCATTAAAAGAAAATGGGAGTGGCATGGGTCACGGTGGTTGGACAATTTTTATTTTTTTGCATGCATAAGCGTTAGGCCTCACATCAAATCAGCCCTTGGGTTGAATTTGCTCTCATGGGAGAGGCAAATATATACTATTTATAAAAATTAACCCACTTGCACTTAAAGACTGCTAAAATGAGAAACTATTGGTGGGGGATGAAATAAAATCAATAAATAAAATAAGAAGAAAAAGAAATACATAGGTGCTGATTAAGTCTACAAAAAGATAAATATTTTACCTCTTGCTCTAAGATGTAGCATGATGTAGTAATTATGTTTCCACTAGGACATGTTCGTTTCCCCTCTCCACTAACAACTAAACTCTTTTCCACTTTCCAACACATGGCATGTCTTCCAAAACCTCCTCCTATGAAGTAAATCAACCTTTTCTTTGGTTGTTCCAACTTGGTGCAAAGCTGATTTAAGCTCAACTATTATAATGATGCTTATACTTACTTACTGTAACTGTTGGATCAAAAAGAAAATGAACTAACCCTAGGGACATTGGGAATTTTGTTTCCCCTATAGTCACTACAAAAAAAAAAGAAGAAATGGTCTGTAGCAGAAACACAAGTTTTTTGTATGCTTCTTTTTTAGTTGTTTATATGTGATTATACACACACCTACAATATAAACCCAACATACGTTTAAATTTCATACTATATTTATGACGGTATTCTGGGCTACAGCCTGCCTGCTTTGGTCAGGATTGATCCTGGTATCGGAGAACAAGCCGTCAACCCACACTCGTCGGTCGTTGATGGCGTTTGACACAGTAGCTGGTCTTTAAGTTGACCTCTTCAACTATGACCTCTCTTACTCATGTCGTGATTTTTGATCTTAAGAGAATCAAGCTGAATTATCACTGGGGTATCTCAACATACTATATTGTCATTGTTTTTTTTTTTTCATATTTTTAATGTGGGCAGCAGAATTTTTAATGGTTTAGAAAGAAGTGTTCAAATTTTGTTTTTTTATGTTCTATAAAAATTTTATTCTCTACCAAATCTAAATTCTTGTGTCAAACACAAAAATTTAGTAGGAATAGCAAGTGATAATAGGTGCTAAAGTACAAACAAGACTTAACCACTGTGAAAAATTTTATAAGGAAAACACATTTATTACAGAATTATGAAAAGTACAAAGTTTGCAGAAAAATTTCTTTTTGTGCACCTATTAAAACAGGATAATAATTTAAAAAAAAAAGAAGAAAGAGGATTGCCATCAAAAATGGGGAAAAATTACATATTGGGAAAAGGCAAGGATTTTTACAAAGAGAAAACAAAGAAAGCCAAAAAAAAAAAAAGAAAACACCTAATTTTATTTGCCCCTTGAGTGTCTCTCTAGGATATATAATAATTTTTGAAAAAACTCCTTTACATTCACAGTTTGTGCTTGGGGAAATTTTTTCATATTCTTTTTCATTTTTTGTTCTCTGATATGTCCCAGAAAGGGATATATTTGTTCGAAGTAGCAAAGTGGTTTTGGACTACTGTCACTGAGTAGGACAATCTAGCAGGTAACCGTAATGGACTGGTCCTCATTGTAGTGGTAGGCAATAGGCATAGACAATAGGCGAAGACCTGTACCTCCACATCAGTCTGTATTTATGGCAGACACCAGCCAATCATATTACTGTGAGGGGCAACCCAGGTGTATGCATATTCATTATATCATTGTTCAACCACAGGAGGATTTACACTTGATCTTCAAAATTCTTTAGTCTCTCTGCAGCTGGCTTGTAACCTTGTACCTTCTTGATACTCTCTTCTTGATGTCAAATGACTTCTGTTCCTTGACGTTGATTTGCCTTGTCCCCTTGATGTCAAAATGTCTTTTCCTCGCATCTACTGACCTGAGCTCTATATTTGGAAAATTAAGACAAGACCCTCCCTCCTTCCCTTCGGGTTGTTACTAGTGCTTGAGACTGTTAGAGTTAGCTCCTCCTTAATTCCCTAATTGTGCACTAGGAGTTGCTCTCCCTACACTATAAATACTGGGCAACTTCTTGCCTCGTTCTTTTTTCTGCTTTGCATTTCAGCGGACACATTTAAAAATCTAATCTCTCAGAGTGATTTCGCCCACTTATGGGAAAACGCCATGAAATACACATACACGTACGTATGAACATTCACCAAAGAACAAACTCTTTACGTCCACACACAAACACAAATGTTAATGTCTTTGTCACTTGTAAATTTGTTGTTTAATATACATATATTTTATGTACAACAATGTCTTGTGGTTATTCTTCTTGTGTGAGTCCTGTTTTTTTATCAAAGTTAAATTAATGTGGTAAAGTCCGCCACAAGACCATGTCTCTCAAAGGTCAGTATATATGAAAAAATAATTTTCCATAAACTGAAAATGGATCCTTCACAAATTTTGGCAGTTTTTAACTTGTGAACCAAAAATGATGTACAAGTGTAACAATTTTTTACACAAACCGTTTGGCCTTCATAAAATATGCTTCTCTCAAAAGAACGTGTATTAAAAAAAAACCTAGCCGATTAAATATTTATTCAATGCTAACATTTTTAAAACAGTAAAAATAAAATGTTTATAGTTCACTTCACACTCATGCCCTTGGGAAAGGCATGAACAAGTTTCTTCTATTAACTTGTCTAGAAGGACAACCCCAAATTGTGGTGTGGACAAAGCAATGGGAATCCACACCTCTATGTTTCCCAGGAAGTCATGGAAATTCAGATATTAAAATAGAGGGAAACTATGGAGAACAATGACTGCCTACGTCCTGGAAAGAATATAGCATAAAAAAAAAAATGCCACGTCATGTTTAAACTTCAGTTATGTCCCTTGAGAATCTTCAACGTGAATTTTGATAGCAGTTACTTCCCTTGAACTGGTCGACCAACAGAATAGCAAAATTTTAGTAACGCACGGTGTGTTTCTTTTTACTTAACACTGTTGCAGTTTTCATTCCTTAAAAGACACTATGTTGGTGGATTGTCTGTTAATCGTCTTTATTTCCATCTGTACAGCCTTACTAGGTGAAGGTAAGTACTAAATAAATTATTTAAAACAATCTTTTAAATTTAACCTTATGTAAAATAAAAAATATTGATATGGAAGAAACGACACGCCTTTTCTTTTCTTCTTTTCCGAACAATTTTGTTTTGGATAAAATAAGGTCTTTTTTTACGATACGGAACTTAACTTCTCGAGTTTATAGGTTTCGATCATTATTTGTTCTTAAAGACTTAATTATTGGTTTTAGTAGAATAATTTGGGTGTAGTTTTCACGTATTTTTTGTTTATTTAAATGTCCGTTTCTGTTTAATGAAAAACGGAAACGTGTTTTTCGCGTCTTGGTTTTTCTATTCGAAACAATTGACCCATTTTCTTGAATTTCTGCTACCGAAGCCCAGTGTGGACATAAATGTTTAGGCCCACTATTATTTTGTTTTTGTGTGCAGTGGTGTGTACCTGTCGAGTTTATGCGTAAGATTTTTTGATGGTATTAAAAATGTGGCAGATATATTCTGTCACATTTTTAAGTAATAATAATTATTTTTTAAATCATTTCAACACAGTCAAGGCGACAAAGCCCCTAAAGCGCAAGGCTGGGGGTTACTGAGAATGAAAATAAAATGGTGAATGATACTATGAACAAGTTTTATGAAAATTTGAAAATAACTCGAAGATATCACCATTAATTTGAAGATATGGGCAAGGAAACATGTGTACAAGCAGAGATGGTGCTGTAAATTATTGGCTCGACCAAGAAGGCATTTCCAACAGAGATTTCTTTTGAATTTCTGAGCACTTGTTCGTTGTTTCTGTTATTGTACAACTGAAGAAGCTCTGATAAAAAATATGGTTGCATGACAAATTAGCTCGGTGTTTCTGTTATGTGTAAGAAGAAACTTTTTCTTAAAAAAAAACAAATTAAATTTTCAACCAAACAGCACTTACTGACTGTAGTTGTTAAAAATAAATGTTTTTTTTTTACTTTTTGAGTTAATATATAATGTAAGATTTATTGCTTTTTTTTTTCTACGACATCGAAAAAAACTGTGTTTAAAAAGTTGTATATTATTGTAATTTCTAAACGTGATTTATCTTTTAAATTTCAAACCCTGAAGTCCCCACAACATATCACTTCAATCATCCGTACTATAAAAAAATCAACCAGTTTCTGTTTGTAGCTTTTTAGTCTTATTTATTTATAAACCACTTTTGCGTTAAAATGTGTTGATAGCAGTTAGTTTTATCGTGTATGTGTGAATATCTATAATTAAGTACACGTGAAAATCTCTGTTTAATTTAATAATAGACTCTGCTTAGAACAAACTAGTTTTTATTGGACAGATCAATTACGTTGTCGGCATGACGAGCTCTTTAAAAATTCGTGTACCTAAAGAAAAAAATACCGTAGCCGATTGACTAGTTTTAGTTAGAAATTGTGGATTTTAAAAAAAGAATGACTATCCCGTAAAGAAAATTTAAAAAAAAACTTATTTTTGTATTTGTTTTGGTTGGGTAAGTTTTGAATCCATACATTCACTTGGGAAAGGTATGAATCCTCTTCTTCTCTTCCCAGCTATGGGTAAAAATAGCAGGACAGACCGGGTTCTATAGCCTTGGATGGCAACTGGTTTACCGTAGAAAGAAATGGCAACCGGCCGCGGAAAAAAATTCTGACTCGTCCAGTCATGTATCGAAAGATACATGATCGGCTAAGCGTGTATCACGCATGACACATAACTGACTGACTGAAGTTTTAAAAGTAAAACTTTTTTTTTTATGTGAACCTCTTTTAGCGGGTTTGCCAGTCTTATGGTTTTTATTCATGAGCTGTGGTTCTAAAAAAAATCTTTGATTACTTATGTACAGATTATTGACATCAATTATTTTTTTTTTTTTTTTTAACAAAAATTGCAAATTTAGATTTCTGAAATTGTATTTTCTGTTGAATGAGTTCGTTTGAGGGTGCCTCCATTTTGTTTTATTGGGTTTTGAAAAACTAAGGAGAAGGGAGAATTTTTTTCAAATTCTAATCATTAATCCATAATCACCGCTTTTTATTAACAAGACTGTTTAAGATAAAATGCATTTAGGAAAAAAGATCATTCTTGATGAAGTAGAACAAAAGTTTATAATTTTTTAAAATAGTAAAATTTATTTGTAATTTGGTTGCGTAGCAAAATATTTTTAAGTGTTACTGTTTAAGTAATAATATATGTATTCATCAGTCAGTCAGTTTTAAAAAATACAAAAAGTATTGGTGATTGCTACATCTTGGATGAGAGTCACGTCTCTCTTGTATCATTTGTAATGACTTCTCTTTCATTTTGGCGTCCATGACCCCCTCCCCCCACAAGATGACTCTTGAGATCAGCATTCAATTTCATACGTATCAGACATGTATGACATTTAAACTCTGTATCCTTGATTGGATCTGCATGCCCTACAATTCTCCTGTCCACCACCATGTACCTCCTCTTTTTTCTGGTTATGAAGACCTTTTATATGGTTTACATAACCATAATCCAAGTGGTTGTCCTTAAAAAATATTAACCTGGTGTTATACCTGATCTTAGTAAATTTAACTGCTGCTTGAAGGAGAAATCCTTCCTAAGTCTGTGGTAGGCATCAAGTCTATGGCTGGTTTTCAAGAATATGAGTAAGTGCTCATACCTCTCACAGTACAGACCCATCAGTCTACTCAGTGTCATTAGCAAACTCTTTGAAGCTCTAATTAACAAGAAGGTTGTTGATCACCACAATAAGAACAATCTCTTCAGTGACAAACAGTACATATTTCGATCGGCCTAGTCCACTGCTGATATCCTAACTTAGGTACCTCCACGAAATCGCTAAAAAAAGAGCATAGCTTGATGAAAAAGATGCCAAACTTGCCGAAAACTAAATTTTATTGTCTAAATGCTTATGTTATTATTAAGAGGAAAGACCAAAGTTTTTTTTTTTTTTAATTATTTTAAAAAATTTTCCTTCTTTTAGAACATTCTAAATTTTGATTAAAAAACCTTTTTTCTATTTGTATCAGCGGAACTAGTAAATAACATAGACAATTTTAGCACGTTTTTTTGGTATGACACACATTAATTTGAAAAATCGCAAAAAAAATAGAAATAATTATCGGATGTTAATGAAACTTTCAGAAACTATTCACAGATGATCGAAATTACTATAAATATGTTTTTTTTTATGAAAGTCATGGTAGAAATATTTTTTAAAAATATTTATTACCCCCCATAACTAATTTTATGAAAACGCTAGAAATTCGATTGCATCGGTTTTAGTGATTACAATAATTAAAAGCACAGAGCTTTGAGGAATGCAAATCATGTTTTTTTTTTTGTTTTCAATTGGATACGCAGTACCTGAAAATTAGCTCTGAATTGTAACATACAAAACTCAATAAAACAAATATATTATTTAATTTCAAATGCTTTTATTTGCTTTTAGTTGTTTTTATGAATATGGACAATATTTTCTGAAAGCAAAAAAATTTTTTCGATGAAAAATGAATTTTTAATACAATTATTTGTTATTTCATTAATTATAATAGATTTTACATTTAAGTTGTTAAAATATTATAAAATTAGTTAAAAGTCAAGATCGGCTTTCATAAGTGTCCTTATGAGATAGATCTTTTTTTAGCGTTGTAAATTGTATCATTTTGACTAATCAGAAGATCCCCAGTAATTAAGAAATGTAATTTTGTGCTTATAATCGAGCTGTAATTATAAAATACGGAAGACCAACCAGAATATAATTAAGTTTGCGTTATTTGAGTTAAGCATTGTTCTCCGCTGTTAAGGCTTTTACTTTTAAAACACGTGGAGAAGTTAATTTGATTTTTCAATTTCAACTGAGAAGGGTACCTACAAGTATCAGTATCATCTTATGAAATTTATATGATCTTATTTTTATATTAATCTCAGTTATGACATTTTTTCCAAAAATGAAATATCAAAATTAATAATAAAATGAATGCAAATACAAATAACAGTAGAATGTAATAAATGTACATAAAATTATAGTATTTTATGTACAATTTGATAAAATTTCATAAGAAAGGTACCTATAAATTAATTAGATACCTTTCTTAAGAAATATGAAATTTAATGTCACTCTTAACAGTTTTATTTTAATTTCTTTACATAAAGCATCATAAACGTAAAAGGTGAAAGCTAAGTACAAAAAAAAAAAAATTAGACCGCTGAAAGTTTTCGTTAAAAATAAGGGGGTAAATAATTTGTTCACGTAAATGTAAATTATTTCACTTTTCTCCTTCCCAGAACAAATTAGCCTCATGGAATTCGTAAATATATCATTCATCACATGTCAAGAGACGCGAAAGTTTATGACCTGTTTTGTTTTATTTTCAAATTACATCTTTTTTGGCACAAAAGCTAAGTTAAGTTTGGTTCAAAATATTTTAAATAAACATTATAATTTCTGATTTTCTTAAAATAAGTTTTGAAAAAATGATAATTGATATTTAAAAAATTTCAAAGTCAGATTTCCATTTTTTTTTAAATGGAAAAAAATGGTCAATTTTGCTGACTCAAAAAAACTAGATTTTTAACGAAAATTTCGGACGTGCTAGGAACGATTAAAAAATGGAAAAAAAATACCCCAAAAAATACTTTGACCTTTCCTCTTAATAATAACAAACATTTAGACGATAAAATTTTGTTTTCGTCAAGTTTGGCGCCTTTTTTCATCATGCTATGCTCTTTTTTTAGCGATCTCGTGGAGGTACCTATCCTAACTGCAATTACTCACAGAATTAGTGAGGCATTAGACAAGTACATTTCAAGGTTGATTGCATTAGATATTTCATAGGCCTTTGACAAGGTGTGGCATAAAGGATTACTGCACAAACTCTCTAGCTATGGAATCACTGGAAGAGTCTTCTCAATTATAAAGTCCATCCTAACATGTAGGTTCCTGAAGGTACAAGCAATCAATGCAGCCAAGGTTCATTTCTTAGTCAAATTATCTTCTTATTTTACATAAATGA